GGTACACTGAAATTGATGTGCCAGTCTATAGGTTTGAAAGTGAGCCCAGTCCTCCAGTTGAGTGACAAGAAAAAAGTTTGCAGCAATAGAAATCTGCAGGAATAAATTCTCAACGCCCTCAGCTGGAAGTAGTCCTTTTTTGTAGAACTCGCTGCAGCGGGATTCTTTGTCCACTTCAGGTTCTGTGATATAATCCTGGAGGTTTGCATCAATCCCAAAAATAGCTGAAGGTATCCCGCAATACACATGCATCGCTATGGACCAAAGGGAGAAATCCGTAAAAATAGCCCTTGATAATTTTGAACAGTGTGGCGTTGGATCTTTGAACCTCAAACCAGCACGAGTTTTGATTTGATAGTACTCGACTCTGATATCCAGTAAAAACCGGTGAACTTTTATTGAAAACCTCGGCCATCCATTGGTTTCTTCGCCGTCAAGATCCCCCAAACTGATCTCAAAGTCTGGTAACATCGACTCAGGTAGTGTTGATTTCATGCTTCTGGTGCTGGCTTCCATACGCTCATCCTTATTTTTCAAACGCACATCATCACTGCCCATCGCTTTCCAAAGTAATTCCAGGGATTCTATAGTGTAGCTTCTCTGTAGAAACCTTTCGACAAAAGGCCGATTTTTTTCAGGCACAGATATTATCGTCACTTCCTTGCCTCGGTCGTTTATTGCTTTGCCAATAACGTTCCCGAATTCAGTCGGCAGCTTGTTCCCAGATGCAACGTAGAAGAGTGGAGAGTGGACCCAGACACTGTCGTGGCCGTGCAGGACGAAAACCACATCACCGTCATCGCAGGCCATTTTTCGAAGCTTGGCCAAGTCATTGAGAAGGTCTTCTTGAAGATCATAGCGAAAAACAGATTGTGCAGGGAGGGATAGTGGGGAGACTCGCATGACGAGGTTCTTTGGGTTGGTTGAACGATTCTAGGTTTGGGGAGCTGGTTTTGATGGTGACGGTCATGAGTGGGGAGCTTAGAGTTTCTATATTCGATTGATGTCAAGCTTTATCCGAATAACGACCAACTATCTCTCCAGTCTCTAAAGCCACGAAACATGCGAGTCGAGGAGTCATCGCCCAGGCAACCATTATTCCCCGCATCAAAATACTGGACATAATGGGCTTGTAAAGCTCTGCGGTGCGTATGCGTACGTAAGCACACAGCTTTATTCGCCATCTATTGTACCAATATGTACGTGTAATTTACATTTGATTTACATGAGAGGAAGAAGAAGAAGAGATGAATGCAGGTATAAAACTCTCAGTATCTAAAAATAAAATTGATCATGCGCAGCACCAAACCCTCGGAAGCAAGACATAAAACCCAACCAGACCCCCAATCCCAAACCCAGATTAAAAATATATTAAAAAAGCGGTTTCTACAACGGCGGTAACGGGTTTCTAAAGAGGAAAAATCAGTTCAACGAGCCCAAAACTTAAAGACTTAGAGCTACATACCTGCAGATTGGACATTGCAGCCGGAACCTCATCCACCCCTCCAAACAATTCGAATGAAATACGTGTTTGCAAGGTGTGACCATGTATCCTCTCCTCCCAAGTAACCCAACACCACCGCTTCTGCCTGCCTCGTTTTCACTGGAAATTGTGGGCACTTCAACTGATTGCATGCAAATAGCACAATCGAAGATTCTTGCCCCAGGTACAGTGGATGGCGATGTAGGAACCTGGGGATCTGCAGCTTCTAGGTCGTCAAGGGGGAGGATCGGGTGGTAATCGTAGGCCGGTGGGAGAAGCTAAGATTATTGTTAGTAGCGAAAGTTTGGAGAGACTGATGAATGACTTACGTTTGTTGGTATCAAAAATCTAGGTCCAAACATCTCCTGGCTCACTAAAGCACAGACTTGAAACCAGACCCAACCTATGATCAGGGCTGCCGTCTTCAAATTTGGCTCTATATAAAAGATATTGTCTTTCCAGCAATAAATATATAGCACTGGCAATACCCTACAAAAGCTCATCCCAGCCACAAACTCCCAGGTGAAGGCTTTCCGACATCCGCGCATGACATTTCGATAGACCTGTGGTATCCAGAAGCTGTTTGCCAAGACTACAGCGCTATTCATAAAGATATTTCTGAAGAAAGGTGGCCAAGATGTTGCGTGAAGGGATAGAAAGATGGATCCCAAGAGAATAAAGTAGAAGCGAGAGTACAACATTCCGAGGTCTTGTCTTCCGTCATCATCGGAATCATTGGTATCTTGGTTTGGGGGAAGAACAACAGGAGTTTGTGGTGCAGCAGTTACAGGGGCTGGAAGCCCACTAGCAGAGAGATTTATTGGGACAGGGACTGGCGCTGTATTTGTTGCTGGAGCAGCTGGTGTGTTTGCGCGCCGTTCGGGCCGTTGGACGCGGTATATTGTCATTAGAAAGCGCATACCAAAGAGAGAAACCAGCAAAAAAGAGAAAAATGCCGCTGAAACCAACGGCAGAAAACATGAATCTGGAATAATTTATTAATCCTGCTTCGACACTAATGTCGCCAGATTGGAAACGACCTAACATACCCACAAAGATAGAAACCGCTAAAAATGCTATAGTCAAGTAGCCATCTACCACACTCATCATAGCCATAGTCCAAAAGCTAACTCTGCTAACCGTACTTGGTGTATTACTCTCGTTCATTTGTCTGATCAATAACCAGATCTGCACAATCATTACAGACGCAGCACACAATGCGAAATTGGATGCCTTATCATAATATTTCTCAACCTTCAATCCCTCTGATCCCTTTGTGCTAAGAACGAACCCACATGTAGGGGAATAGATGATAGAGGAAAGGATTATTGGGGGTGCAGGTGGGACAGGTGCACCAGTAGGACGACGTAGTTCCTGCTCAATCTCGTGAATGGTGTCTAGCGTCATGGGTTGTTGCGATTGCAACGGATTTGGCCCAAATGGAAAGAATGACATAAGGGGAGTTGAAAATGCCGGGGCATCTATTGGATGGAATTGAATATACACAATATATTCGCAACGTGGATCAGAGACCTGGTCGGAGCCTGATTGCCAGGGAGAGTTGGAGTGTGATGAATCCTCTTGCTTTTGTATTGCTGTTGAGATTGACGAGAGTAGAAGAGTTTTGGAAAGATTATATGATTCTTCTGTAAGAGTAAAGTGGGGAAGCGCGAATATTCCTGAAAATCTGCTCAGTGGAATAGTTAACAAAGTGCCCCCAGTAAGGACGAGAAAGCCGCAAATTTGACCAGTGTAACTAACCTCTCGGAAGAAGTAGTCAAAACCATCTCTCCAGAGTCCGTAAAATGCACGCCATATAAGGTAATTTCTTTCGAATCGCCACCCTCTTCGTTCTTAATCATCATAGTCATTCCGACTTCCTGAACTTTCCCAGGCTCCTTTTCCTCGATATTAAAAGTAATCTTCCCACTATCGGCAGTGACATTCTTTTGATACGTTATGTTTGACTGTGGTATTAGGAGTCCCGGAAGCTTCACGCGGCTCCATTCTCCGTGTAAGGTTCCTGACACGTTCCGATACAGTGGTAATGGCCCATTCAATATAGGGGCACGCTTGTTGTTTTTATTTTCCTGAGCATTATTATCCGATTTCGGTGCTTCGCCTAACAGTTCCTTCTCTATTCCATTATTTGTCCCTTGGCTCCCAACATTTCTGGCTGGGACCTCTGAACTATGATCACCCCTGAAGTAATCCGCCATCACATCTTCCCTCATCTTCCGCACCTGCCCTCTGACTAGATCTGACGGGAACACCGACTCATTCTCAGTATTGATGCCAGTTAAGTTTCCCGGCTGCCTAAACGTCGAGTTTCGTAGTGTTTCGAGCTCTAGTTTCTCCCTCTCGATAATGTGGTCGATCTCATGTCGCTGCGTGGGTGAGTTGCCATCGGGGGCGAGCAGGATTATGATTATGAGTATCAAGAAGACTCCAAGGCGGGATTGCTCCATAAAGTTGTAGGAGCCCAGGGGGTTTGACTGTTCGTAATCTCAATTAAGGTCCTGGTTAGCTGTCAGGACTTCTGTAGTCTGGAATTACTTTATGGAGTTAGACAGCCGACGTCGCACAAGGCTTATTCAGCCTCAAAGCTCTAAAGCTAGGTGCATGTGGGTACATGTAGGTACGAGATCGTCAATAACATCATCAACTTGAGCTATCTACGCTATAATCTAGCCATTACCACAGATGGATGGTTACATGTGATTGTTACATAGGAGTTAAAGTATGTCAGGTTTGATTATGAATAAACCGCTAGGTTTATAACTTTGAAGCGAGGAACTGGTTGAAATTAGGGTTAGGTGATTTAATGCACCAAGAACATAGGGCTCGGTACCTGGCCGAGCTTTGTATTAGTTTCAATCCGATATTGTGTCTGTGTCCCTCTGAGCTCTGTTGACTGGATTCGGGAGTTCTAGGTGTTTCTCGCTCATATTTTCAGCCTCAGAAAGCTCAATTTGGTTGCCTACAATTATTACGTCTAAATTTAGATTGGTTCTCCCCGCCGTTTAAAGCATTATCTGCTAGTCTAAGACTCAAGATCTAATAAGAAGCCTATAGAGGATAGTTTCATCTGATTTTTGGCGCTAAATTCCTTCGGGAAAGCAAAAATCCAGATCCTCGAGAAAATCGTATCAGGCAATTAGGTTACCGATTACTCATGTCCAATCCTTTTTGGAGGGGGGAATTTCCACCACTAAGGTTGCAGTTTCGCAGGTCCTCTGTCCCTCTCCTCCTCCTCCTCCTCATTCTTCTCCTCTTGATCCAAGCCCCACCGCCATTTCTTAATTTCCTCAATCACACGATACTGGCGTGTGACGCGGTGCTGCATCCTCTTCAAACGTCAAAACGATAGAATGGGAATGCAAATCTACCGCCTGGAGATTGCATTGATAACTGAGGATCGCAGCCTCAAGCACCCTCCGACTAACCTGAGTTATATGTAGAACCTCTCCACCATCTGCATCCCACAATTTCTTGTAGAAACAATAATACTATTACAATGCTCTCCCGGCTTGGGGAAGGAGCTCTAGAAAAGCTACAGACAACAAAGAACATCGCAAAACAGTGTCTAAACCGAGCCCTAGGCTACGCGGACAAAGATACAGAAGGTAAAAGAAGTAAATAACTATCCGAGTATATGTAGGAACCCTTCCCGACTGACGGCTAGCAGAGAAAGACCCAAAGAAAGCTCCCGACAAGGCTGCAAAAGAGAAAGTGGAGCAGTCGATGATCTTCAAGCGCGACGCTGCCTACGAGGAAGAGCTCGAAACAGTCGAGGACGAAGATGACGAGGACTTGGTCCTTATAACGCATCAGCCATGCAGGGTCGAAATCGAGAAGAAGCCAGCATCACAACCAAATAGGAAGCAGGAGAAGTTTCGGAACTTGGAACTTGGAGAGGAGAGGTTTGAGGAGGTTTCGTTGGAGTAAATTGTGCTGCCCAGAAAGTGCTTCATGACTTCTCTCCCTTGGTGGTGGGAGCCGGTTAACTAGCTTTGCAGTGGATACTCTCTTTCGGCTCTGGTATGCTGATATCACCAAACCTCTTGAGAGATCCAGTATAGCTCATAGACTCTCGTTCTGAACAGGGCATCCTCCGCACAACTAGTCGGGATATTTGGACACCCGAACCTATTGCGAGGCATGGTGCATGGTGACGGTGGACAGTATCTTTATTGCTCAGGAATTGTGGGAGAGATTGCCGACATTTCATTCTCCCTCTAGCACTCTTTAATTCCCATTTCTTTCCATTTCTTTCCACTCTTTCAAGTCTCCCTTCCTCTCTCTTCTTTATTTCTACTTCAGGCTTGAGCCTGCAGATAATTTCAATTTTTAATTTCAATTTCAATTTCAGCTTCGAATCGCTTATAATCCTATTAACATTATCTTCGTTGATTTTTCGTCTTTTATAACTCCTGGCGATTTCCCTAGGTCCAGCTCCCTGCATTTTGCTCAAGGCGTTTAATCCATGTTCTTCCAGGCGCATGAATTTCTACACCTAGTTTCTAGATTCCCATTTATAGAGATACATAGGGCAGAGAAATGTAGACGGCGTAGTCACGAGGTTCAAGCCATCTCTTATGTATTTTCTCTTTCACCCTGTAGTTACACTGTGCCCATCTTACAAGGGCCGGGAGGGAGCACACTGCGTGTTCTTCTCTTTTTTGATCAATCCTATAGATGATAAAACACGAGTCACTCTTCAAAAGCGTTAGTGATATGGTAATGACCACTTCCGTCCCCGATAGAGAAGAGCATTCCAAAATCATAATGAATTCTGGGAAGATGAGCTGTCCAAGAAACACTTCTAAAAAATAAATCTTCGTCTGCTTTTCCGCCGTACCTGTGATAAGCCCAATCCAGGCTTTCATCCCAGACGCCGGCCATATATGTCATAACTTAACACAATCTCTGTTCTCTATTGGGCTACTAGGAACGATGGGTAGTACCGGCGAAGAATATCGATGACTATACTATCGCTGTGACTGTGCTTTTCTCTCTCTTCTTTACCTAGCAGTTATGTCGTAACATTTCCTATTCTCCTAGCTCACTACGTAGTCCATTTCACAGAAGCACAGGACCGGGTAATCATGTACTATCACTCGTTCACTACATAACACACTCCACCACGATCATTGACTCTCCTCTTATCTTTATCAATCCGTTAATTCATCAATTGGAACTTTATTATTCAAAGCAAAACTAACACTAAAATACGTGGGCAGCTTTATAGGTAAGCAAATAGCTATTACGCCCCCCTCCATGTACATTCTTTCTACTCTACACCCCACCCCACCAGATCTTCGAAGAGAGAAAGAAAAATATTGATGAAAAACAAAGAGAAGAAAGTCCTAAGTAGGAAAACTTTTAAAAAATCCCGTTGATAAGAGCAATGCTAATAGAAAAAATTGAGCAAGAAAAAAAAAAAGAAATGAAACATGTGCATACCCAGCAAGCACTATTACCTACGCCGCCGACCCTGCAGCAGCCGCCGCCATACTGCTCCTGAGCACGCTCGCCACGCTCTTCGGTGCCACGCATCCATGCTCGCAGACGACCGCCTTGATACACTCGCTCGGCGTGACATCGTACCTAAAGCTCTCAATCCTCATATTATCGATATCCTTCCAGCCCTGCAGGGGGCCCATCTCGCGGGCCTTTGTGTCGCTCATGTTAACGAGCAGCTCGGGGTCGCCTTTGCAAGTTAGCCATCAGTACCCATCAGATACTTTTCTGAGGGGGAAATACCAAGCTCATTGGACACGATCCCGTCGAGATTGATCTTGTCACTAAACTTTATGCTTTCACAGCAGACAACGACGGGGATGCCAACTTCCCGTGCGGTAGTAGCGACAATTGCGGTACCGCTACGAGAGTAGAGGGCTCCATCAGCCATGATAGCGTGGGCACCGAGGAGCACGCGCGTGGCAGAGGAGATGCTGTGTTCGAGGCCATAGAGATGGACGTATTCACAGCGGATTCCGGCCTCGGCAAGACCTTGAAGGAGGTTCTTTCCTTCGAGGAGCGGCCGGTTGTCAACAACGATGACGCTGAAGATCCTGCCTTGGCGGTGGGCTTCGAGGAGGGCTCGCTCGACGACCTGGGATTTGCCGTAGGTGAGGAGGGTGTCACCGGTGCGGATGTACTTGTCGACGGTGGTCTTAACGATCATGTCATCGGCTACTGTGAGCTTCTCTCGGATGAAGTTTTCAATACGTTCTACGAGATGCTTCTTAGATGCCTCCTGAGTCTGGTCAGGAGGGAGAGTGGAGATTTCCTGCTTCAGCCAGCGGATGGTGTTACCCATTGCCGTGGACATGGGGCGTGCCGATAGGAGGTAAGCAATCTGATGAGAGAGATAGTGTCCTGGGAGGTGACGCGAGAGTGAAGATGCGGGGGGTGTCTCGTAGTCTTGGATTACCTATGGGGGGGTGGTTAGTACGTTGATTAGTGGGGCGAGTGATTTGTTATGATTCTGGTTAGAGTTAGAGGCCGAGGGGATTCATACACGTTTCATAGCTAACAGAAACCCAATACATCTCGCAGTACTCCCTGAAAGCACATATTGGTTGATCTGCATGCCTAATGTCAGGATCGCAGGGTGCACATCCACATGGGCATGCCCCAACCCGAACACAGGCCCCTTCTTCTTCTCATTCTGCTCCACTGACAGGTCCTTGAGCAATCCGACGAGCCCTCGGTCCTTTGCCGGTTCGACAATTACCTCTACCTCCTTCGCTACCGTCTTGACTGGTTGGTTTCCGCTGCCACCGCTTGTAACATAGATGGTCTTTACGATGCCACCGCTGCTGGTCACTGGCTGCTGCACTGTGACTTTAGCACCACCTTTAGTGCCTGCTGAGGCTTCTTTAGGTTTATGACCGCCCTGGGCGGGGGGTGGTGCACCACTGGTGCCTTTAGTTTCCGCACGGCGGACGGCCTTTTCGGCCTTCTTCTTTTCTTTGAGTTCCTTAGGGGTCAGCTCCCTTCCACCATCTCCTGCTGCTGCTGTCGGAGCAGCAGTTTTCTGATCCTTTATAGGCTTAGGGGCCTTAGGCTCCTTAGCTGGTTTAGGAGCAGCCTTGGGAGTAGCCTTGGGAGCTGGCGGGGCCGCTGGGGATGTCGCTGCGGATCCTGAGGGGGTTGTTGGGTCTACCATCTGGACGTGAGGTTAAGGGTGTTAAGTTTAAAAGCGAGGTTATATTATAAGTGTGTTTGTAGTAGGTGTGGGTGATGTAGTGGATGCACTGGTATTGCTACTACCAAGATCTGTGTATTAGGTGTTGTTTTTTTGGAGGTGAGTTCTTTAGTGGTGGTAATGGTGGTGGTGGGGTATTTCCTTCCTTGGTGGTGGGGTGAGTAAGACCGCAGCAAGTGCCATTCTATGGAGTCACTTGCCCAGACAGGTCTAGCCCAGGAACCCCTTGTGTAGCCGGGTAACTGTCTGGGTCTGTATGCATGAGTGATAACCCTAACCTTGTCTGACGACGACACAAAAGCACTGACTGGGATCCAGGACCTGATTGGGGCTAGTAGGGGAGATCTTTCAGAAAGGAATTTGAGAGCAGGGTAAACAATTCCTCCATTCTGTCGCCGGCCGCGGCTCGAGTGCAATTGATTGAAATCTTGAAATGGTTTTCTGGTGCAATAGAGTCTTTTTGCCAGCGACCGCAAGAGTCGTTGCTCAACCACAAGTGGAGATATTTAATAGAGAATAGATAGTAGAGTTAAATAGAATATAAAGAAAGCGATTTTGAGACTACCATCTAGTATGCCCTCCATTGGCTTTGAGACACACCTCAACCCTTAATGGCAATTTATCTGGCTTTGATTGAAACAATGCCTCCCACTCCTCTTGTGCAGTGATAAAAGGTTCATCATCACAATGAGGTCTTCTCTGTCTATAACTTCATCGCCTTTTTAGTGCACTCTTGAGCATTTCCCATGAATTCTTTATGGCGTTGAAATCTAATGATCCAGTAGGCCAATCCCCCTCCTGGCTGGACAGTTTGTATCTTTATTTATCTGTACAGTATTTCAGCCCATTTTATGGAGAATAACAACAGCTTACCACTTGTCATATCTTGAAACTTTTGCAGAGTTCGTGGTGGAGTGGTTATGGTTTGACTCACCGTCAAAAAACGGCGGGAACTTGTTGCATGCGACTGTACATGCAGGATGCGTATCATATATCACTTTTCGAATACCGTGCTTAAGAATACGCCGTCAAATATTTAGAATACCAATCCCTAGAATTTTCCTTTGAGAGTATTCCTCATACCATGCAGGCCAAGGTCCCCTCAATGCATGCACCAAAGTCTTGGGTATTTCGATTTAGTGGTGGTCGTTGGCTAAAAGACTCTAATGGCGGACTTCAGTTAATTCTAAGATCATGGTGTCCCATCTGAATGAAAATTAGGCATTTCCGTTTTTCTTCATGTAAAACCTTCTTTATTTGGTATTTATTGTCTACTGCGATTTATTTTCTTTATTCTGCATGGCTTATATTGTGTTTTTATTATAGGTATAGGGGTGGATCATAAAGATGGCCCAGGGACACATTGCGTATAACCCCACCATTGAAACAAACTCGTTTTGACACTTTTATGTAAGTACTTATGCTTGTAAATGCGAGGTCCCCCCGTAGACCTGGTTTTTATTGACCAATAAATGCGCATTCCATTGAGCTCACCGGGTTCGCCATTGACCCGGAAAGCACTGAAACTTGTTGTGAAGACACTAGAGCAGAGTAGGTAAATAAACTGCCTCACTTGAATCAATGCCGCGATAGCCTGGCATCGTCTAAATCATAACCCAATTTTCTTGTGTCTCTTATCTAAGGTTTTATGGACATATATACCCGGACACCTCATAATCTGAAACATACATAATAACCAGCACTCTACGTGCAGGCCACAGCAGCAGTAGACAGATTTACAGACAGACAGCTAGACAGACAGGCCGGCCATGACCGATCCCTTGGTGACGGCTTGATACTCAAAGGAGCCACCGAGACACTGTAACCGTGATGCCCGCTGATTGGCTGCACGTTTGCTTCTTTTTTGCGTTGTGCCAAAATCCAATCCAACCAAATGGACCCCCAGCCAGCCCACAGGTCCGAGCTCAGCAGCAGAATCCCCTTTTCTCAAATCCCATCCTCTTTCTCTTTTCTACCTACTCTATCTCACCTCTCCCCTGAACCTGTCCTCCTTCTGCTACCTCTCCACTCATGCCTTGACAGAAGAAGGGCGCTGGCAGGTATCGTCGCTGTGCGGTTTTTCTCCTTCGGTTCTCTTACAGAAACCTACCCTCGCTTTCTTACTTGATTATTATTTATTTACTGCTGCTATTATTTTTTTCTCTTTCGCACTTTTTTAGGAGGCTCCCTACCAGTGCACCCACCTACCTATCTCGGCCTCTCTCACTAAGGAATAAATACACACAGGCAGAATTGCTCCCCCCCCCCTCCACTCGTGTAACCACAGGGGAGAAATGATGATGATGGAGCAACGCGAGGGCTCGCGACAACGCGCATTCATAGTGCTGGGGGTGTTTGGCGCAATAATCCTCCTGACGAATCTGGCGCTCATCACCGGAACCGACTTTAGCATAAGGATCGAGAAGCTACATGTCCCCGAGGTACTGGGCGGACAGCCTAGCTATGAGAATGAGAATTTGCAGAGCGACGTATGTAGCCGGGAGAGCCTAATTGTGAGAAACGACGGTAGCTGATGGTGGTGCTCAATGATCGATAGCTCTTCAAGATTACGCCGTTGGATGACTTGGATTTTGATAAGTCCTCCGAGACGGTCGATAGACACCCGATTGTAGGCCTCATGCGTGAGGCGGCCGAGAGGTTCCGCGCGTACGAGTCGTCGAGGTCAACGAGCTTTGCGGAGGCTGTAAAGACGTACAGAGAGAGATATGGGCGGCACCCACCCCCGGGATTCGATAAAGTATTATCTACTCTAAGCTCTCTCTCCCGGAAACCTGAAAGCTGACACCAGAGTAGTGGTACAAGTTTGCGCGCGACCGCGGAATATACCACCTCGACGACTTCGACCAGATCAACGACGACCTGCGCCCCTTCTGGTCTATCCCCCCCGCCGAGCTCCGCCTCCTCGTCCACGGTATGCTCGCCGAAGAGTCGGGCCCCAGCGGCATTGCCGGCCTCGCAATCAAGGAAGGGAAGACTAGGATTCTCACTAGCAAGGATAACTGGCGCGCTGAGACTATGAGGGATATGCTCGACGTCTTTGCTCATGAGCTGCCCGACATGGAGATCGCGATGAACCGACTAGATCAGCCGCGAGTTATTGTGGAGTGGGAGACGCTCCAGGCGCATCTTAAGAAGGAGGAGGAGACCCGAAGCATGCCCGAGAATCCGAAGAATGCGTTTACGCCCAGGAATTTGGTGTTCAAGGAGACGCTGCCGGTCGCGGACTGGTTCAAGGCCCCCGGGAAGCCGTATATGGACCTTGTGAAACCGGCTTGCCCGCCAGACTCATATGCACGCTCAGAGACTATATCCCCCGAGCAAGCAGAGGCAAAGTATAAGCTCCCACACACCGGCGGGATTGTGTCGAACTTCAACACGTCGAGCGACCTGTGCACTGTCGGACCGGCGATCAGTCAGCTTCACGGCTTCATGTTCTCGGCGTCGTCCGTCATGGCCACAAAGAAGCTCGTCCCCGTCTTTGGCGAGTGCAAGGTCAATGTCAACAACGATATCCTCTTCCCCGCAAACATGTACTACCGCAAAGACGAGCGCTACCAGTACTCGGACAAAAAGGACGTCGCCTGGGAGGACAAGGCCACAATGATGTTCTGGCGCGGCATCACCTCCGGCGGAGTCCAGGTCAAAGATTCCTGGCGCCGCCTCCACCGTCACCGTCTCGTCCTCATGACGAATGCTACGCAGCTCGAGGACACCCAGGAGACGTACGATATCATGCGGTGGGCGTCGGACACGGAGAAGAACTACACGGAGGTCCGCGGCGCTTTCCACCCCAGTGAGTTTGCTGAGAAGCACACGGACGTGGGGTTCCCGGATATGAAGTGGTGCGTGCCAGACGATAACTGCGGCTGGCTGAAGCAGTACTTGTCGCCCGTCAGCCAGACGACGATGACGGACCAGTTTACGTATAAGTACCTGGTTGACGTTGACGGACACTCGTTCTCGGGAAGGTGGCATGCGTTCTTGAAGAGTAGGAGTATGGGCATCAAGTCCACCATCTTCCGTGAATGGCATGATAGCCGCCTCTTTGCGTGGTTGCATTTCGCGCCGATGGATAACCGCTTTGATGGTATGCCCCCCTACTTTCCCTCCTACAGGTGAATCATGGCTAATCACTCGCACAGACCTCTACACCCTGTTGACATACTTCATGGGCCTCGGAACACCCGCAGACCGCAACTCGACCAGCGCACTGTACGTCCCCGGCCACGACTTTGAGGGCAAGAAGCTGGCGAACCAAGCCCGCGACTGGGCCGCCACGGTCCTCCGCAAGCAGGACATAGAAATCTACATGTACCGCCTCATGCTCGAGTATGGGCGGCTGCTGGACGACGACAGAGACGTGATTGGGTATGGCGGCGACGGGAATGAGATCGATGAGGGCCGGTGGACGGTGTAGCTTTGGGATGGGATGTGAATGGTGGGATTGTAATGGCGTTGGGTGTCCTTTTTGTGTTTTTGGGTGCGTAGGTGGGGGCGGGGGCAATGCGGAAGGTGGGGGTGGGATGGTGGGATTAATGGGTTATTTGCGGTGGTGGGAGCGCACTATAGGGGTGTGCTGTATGGGTGTGCTGTATGGGTGTGTATGGGTGTGTAGGAGGGGGTTTTGAGATGAATGGTGGATAGTAGCCCGAGGAACGGATGTAATCTGGACGGGGGAAATGACTGTATTAGTATAATCCAAATGTTCTGATGGTTATGAATATATATGCATCTAATCTTGATGGTGGTTTTGTAGTGTTGGTAGCTTGCGTATAGTAGTGGTTTTTGGTGACTTAGTAGAGTTGTTTCGTGACCAGGTAGATGGCTGACTTAACAGCAGCAGTGGTGGTTGAGCGGGGAAGATGATTAGCTAGTGGGGGAAGGTGTAGAGGTGTAAAGACATAGAGATGTGAAGGTGGTGGGTCCATCAGAGTGCTGGATATCTGCCTGATCTCAGGTGGGTAAATAGTGCGGCGTAAATAACCCCAACCCTGACTTATTCGTGAGTGATATTGTGTGCATGGTAGTTATGGTAGCAATGGCTGCCTGGAATACGAGTGTAGATCCTAAGATGTGGTGTATCACGGCATCACGGGGGCCCGGGGGCCCGGGGGGGCAGGGGTGGCAGGGGTGGGGGTCAATGATTGTTATGTGCCTTTTTGGGGTGGAATAGAATTGTCTGGGGATTTGGTTTGGAGATGGCAATTGAGCTTAGGAGTTCGTATTCACTCATGGTAATGCTTTTGGAGGTTATGTGTTCCTGTGGAGTACCTGCTGGGCTGCTGTATTGTATTACTATTCACAGCCATCTATCACCTCAACTCCAGAAAATCACAGCGAACACAACAAACCAGCCAGCTAGCCAGCTACCCATCTCTATAAACCCCCTTTTTTTCATTTTTCCGCCCCCGGTCCCCCATACACACAAAAGAAGAAACAGACAGAAGAAAAAGCTACCTAATGCTCCTCCCCCTTGACGAACGCCTCATACTCCTCCCTCCCCAGCAGCGCCTCGAACTCGGCCTCCTGGCCCTCGCCAACCTGCACCTTGGCAATCCACCCCTCCGCCTCGGGGCTGCGGTTGATTAGAGCAGGCTTCGCCTTCAGCGCCGTGTTGGCCTCCACGACCGCGCCGCTGACGGGCGACATGATGTCGGAGGCGCTCTTGACGCTCTCGACGGCGCCGAAGGCGTCGCCGGCGGTGACCTCGGTGCCGGCCTCGGGGAGCTCAACGAAGACGACGTCGCCGAGGGCGTTGGCGGCGTAGGTTGTGATCCCGATCGTGGCTGGGAGAAAGGGGGGGGGGGGGGGTTAGTGGCTGTGGTGGGGGAGGGAGGGAGGGGGGGGGGGAGGGGGAGGGGGAGGGTGGAAGGGGGGGAGTACCGATGTTGGAGACGGACGGGTCGTGGGATACCCATTCGTGGTCTTTGGTGAACTTTGTGACTGGGGCGGGTTAGCGGGTGTTGAGGAGGATGTTAAATAGTATCTTGGGAGGTGTACCGTAGACCCTGGCGGACCCGGAGAAGGCGCGGGTTGCGCGGGGGGCCTGCGCGGGGAGGGCGGACCGGGTGAGGGCCGAGAAGGCGCGGAGGGAGAGTGTGCGTGCGAGGGAGGCCATTGCGGTGGTGTTTTGCGCGGGGGGGATGAGGGAGGGTATTGGGTATTATTAGGTGGTGGTGCGGAGGGGGTCTAAATGGCGCGAGAGAGGAAGGAAATGCGTGGTTGGGGAGAGGCTGCGGGCGGGCGGGCGGGCGAGCAGAGCTGGGGGAAACAGGAACAGCCGGGTGAGACGTTGGGGCGGGTCACGTGCTAAGCTAAGGAGCGATAAGCGAGGTCAAGCAGGCAAATTGCCAGTGGATGTCGACGACTCGAAGGGTCATTTCTGCTATTTCCTTCCTCGCAAAATAGATACATCAATCCTTCATGATCATGTAGCAGTCAAGAATCGATCTAATTTGCACCATCATTTGGTAAATACAATATCTACATTTCTCGTTCGTTGAGAAGTCTCAAGAACGTCCGTACTCGAGCCGTGACCCCGCGGATCACGTGTGTGGGGGACCTCCCACTATAAACGCCCAAACCGACCCCGGTAAAAGAAAACCATCACGGCGAAGCAAAGAATTTTGAGCCTCACGCGTCAGTCCGCATACCTACCTGCAGCCTCTCCTTCTCCCTTTCTCTATACTATTTCTTTACTGTAAAGATGCTGTACGAATTGATCGCCGTCGTAAGTCCCTCGCCCTAGCTTCTAATTGCATGACGGGTAGAGCACAAACCACTAATACTCTCTTCTGTCTCCTACAGGTCCGCGGCCAATCCCTCCAAGAAGTCAAAGAGTACCATCCCCCCCCTCCCCTCCCCTCCCCTCCCCCCCCCCCTTCTTTCTCCCCGCCTACTAACTCCCCTCCTCCCCCGTATAGCATCGCCAAATCCGCCGGCACGCTCGTCCTGCGCAACGGCGGCGTCGTCCGCGGCTACACCAACTGGGAGCGCCTGCTCCTCCCGAAGAAGACCCACAAGCACCAGAGCACCCACACGCACGGGCAGTACTTTGTGATGCGCTTCGACTCAAACAGCGTCACGCAGAACGAGATCAGGCGCACGCTGAAGATGGATCCGCGGATGGTGAGCTTCTCGGTGGTGAAGCTGGGCACAAAGTTGGAGGAGGTGGCGGGGGTGGGGGGGAGGACGTTTAATCTGAAGCCGTTGTAGGGGGTGCAAGGTGGCCCGCGGGGGGGGGGGGGGGGAAGGGGGAGGGGGAGAGAAGGGAGGGGGGGAGGGTTCTTGGTTTTTTTTTTTTTGCTTTGGAGGGAGTGGGGGGGGGTGGACGCTGTAGATATCACTGGTATGGTATGGCGGTGTGGTATAGAAAATGCCAGATCAAGCCGAAATAATATATCGCACTCCAGTGTTAATTGCATCCAATACCACCCTCGGAAGATTCATTTGGCAGAAATGACCGTCTCAGTATATATATATCAAATCGTAACAATACCACCCAAAATAGTAGTCCCTGTACAGCCAAGTCTCACCTCTGAGACATAAGCCCCCCCCCAAAGGGGAAGCGGTCAATGATCCGTTCACCATGTATTGCTGCTCGCCCACGCACGGGGCCTCACTCGGTGGTTCATGGCTTGCCACTCATGCTTGATTGTGGTTGGAGCGGGTTAGGGGTTTGGGTTATTGGTATTATAGTGTGTAGGCAGGGAGAGGTATGAGGGGAGAGGTCAATGATACGTTGTGTGTTTTTGTTTAGCTACAAAGAAATCACAACCACAGAACTAGAGACAATGACGAAAAATCCGAAGTGAAGATTGCCCTTTTTTTTTATTCCCCCTATCTACACCCCCTCCCTCTCTACGCATCCACAATCTCCCTATTCAGATTAATCTTCTTCAATATCTCCTCCGCCCCCCTCTCCACCAGCCCCCTCGCAACAACCCTCCCCATCTCCTCCGCCTCCTCCTCCCCAGCAACCTCCATCTCGCCCTCAAACTCAACAGCCTCCCCCCCATCCAGACTCACCACAACACTCTTCATCCTCAACACCCCGCCCTCCCACGCCGTCTCAACCCCAATAGGCACCGAACACCCCCCCTCCAACGTCCGCATCAGGCTCCTCTCCGCACGACACGCCAGCGCCGTCCTCTCATCGCGCAGCGGCGCCAGCAGCGCATCCACCTCGTCATCCCCCTCCCGCGCCTCGATCCCCAGCGCGCCCTGCCCCACAGCATGCAGCAACACGGGGCTCTCCAGCGGCGCGGTAATCCGATGCGACAACCCCAGCCTGATCAGCCCGGCGCTCGCGAGGATGAGCGCGGCGTAGGGCGAGTCCGGGTCGTCGAGCTTGGACAGGCGCGTGCCGACGTTGCCGCGCACGTCTTGGAAGGTGAGGTGCGGGTAGCGCCGGGCGAGCTGGGCGCTGCGCCGCACGGAGGAGGTGCCGATTGTGGAGCCGGCGGGGAGGGAGGCGAGGGTGCTGTGGGGGGAGGGGGCTTTCATGACGAGGGCGTCGCGCGGGTCTTCGCGCGGGAGGATGGCGCCGAGGGTGCAGTGGTGGGGGAGCTGGGTGGGCATGTCTGTGCTGCGTTAGCTGCTGTCTGCTGCGTGGAGGCGGGGGAGGGGGAGGGGGAGAGGGGACCTTTGAGGGAATGCACAATCATATCGACCCTCCCGTCCAGCAGGAGCTCTTCGAGCTCGTGCGTCCAGAGCGCTTTCGCGCCGAATGAGTGCAGTGGCTTGGTCTGGTTGTTGTCGCCCGTGGTGGTCATGGACACGATCTCGAAGTCGAGGTGCGGGTGCGCGGCGATGAGCAGGCTGCGCACGAGCTCGGTCTGGATGAGCGCGAGCTTGGACTTGCGGGAGCCGATGCGGATGGTGCGGCGGGGGGTGGGGGCCGGGGCCGGGGCCGCCGTGGAGGAGTCGGGCGTGAGGGTGGACATGAGGGCGTGGTGGGCGCGGAGGAGGAGGTAGGAGGCCATGGCGGGGTGGTGGGGTGGTGGGGTTTTATGTATGTATGTATGTATGTATGTATGTATGGTAGAGAGAGGGCAATTGGTGGGTGGGTTCACGATTGCATGCAGGTGTGTGGTGGAGATGTGAGTGGATGGCGGGTGATCCTGTGTGCTGCTGGAGAGAGGTGAGTACGTGCAGTATACAGTATATCGCCAACCAACCACGCAGACCAGGCAATATACCTCCAGTCAAGCAGACGCGAGAAGAAGAAGTCTCCCGAGTACGTATTCCAGCCAGAAGAGCCCGAGAGGTTGTGCTCTGTTTCGGTCTGTGTCAAACCTCCATCCAATCTCTAGCATGCAATCGTCTTCCGGCAACCCGAAAGTGGAAAAGTCGCCAAGGCCCGTGTCCCCTCCCTCGGCTGCGCTGCCCCGCTCTGAGCTGAGAAAGAAAGAAGAGCCGCAGATTGAAGATTTACTTGCACACATACAGCCAGGCAGGTCAAGTCTCAGCTGTGGCGGAAGAGAAAGAGAGAGAAAGAGAGAGAGAGAGAGAGAGAGAGGGCAGTTCGGTGCAGTGCGGTGCAGTGCAGTGCAGAGAAGAGAAGCGAAGAGAAGAGCTGTGGCGAGTGAGTGATCGTTCAGACATATCTATCGTTCTATCTATGATCTACTCTAGAGCTACTTCAGACATCGTCCTTCTAACCATCTACATAACTGACGTCCTCTCAATCCCTGCTGCGAAAAAAAAAACCAGAACCCTACCAAGACCCAATTACCTCATCAACAACAAATATTAGCAGCAGCAGCAGCAGATCCTAGATATCGATATCTACAATCCAATCTCTCGATATCTACCCCACCACTGCCACCAGACCTCCCCCATCCATCCGCCGCCTGCCCACGGCCCACACATCCACAGAACCCCCCCCAAACATGCTCGCCAGAGCTCTCACCCGCTCCCTGCTGGCGTCAAGGCCGTCAATGGCCGCTGTCCCCCGGAGGTGCCCTGCCATCCTTCCCAGGAACAGCCCACTGCTCCTGAGCACCCTGCAGCAGCAGTCACGAACATATGCCCTCAAGAAACGAAGACCATACACCGGCGGCGACCCGAGCAAGGACGTGGACCCCGCCGACGCCGACCCCATCATCCCCACAGAGGCCAATGCCTCACCACTCTCCCAGGACGAGGCCGCCGCCGCCGCCTCCTCCTCCTCCTCCAGCACCCCAACCTCCGATGCAGCAGACCCAACGGCCAAACAGACCAGCACCGGCGGCGGCGGTGGTAAAGGCGACGAACCCCCCCCCAAGACCAGCACCGGCGGCGGCGGTAAAGGCGACGAACCCTTCCCCAAGCCCTCCTACGTCTCGTCCACGGACCGCAAGCGCGAGCGCCTCGCCCGCCTCGTCTTCGTCTCCTTCCTCGCCGCCCTCGTCGGCGGCGCAATCTACCTCGGCCAGGACCTCAACGAGTTCGAGAAGACCATCTACGACACGGCCGCCGTGCCCAACGGCTGGACGGCCTCCGCGTTCTACGCGCGCCTGAAGGCCCGCCTGCAGAACGTGCTCGACTTCTACAACGAGCCGCCGTTCGAGAAGTTGCTCCCCGACCCGCACCCGGACTACTCGCGCCCGTACACGCTCGTCATTGCGCTCGAGGACCTGTGCGTGCATAGCGCGTGGGACCGCGAGCATGGGTGGCGCATTGCGAAGCGCCCCGGGTTGGACTATTTTTTGGCGTACCTGTTTAATTATTACGAGATTGTGGTGTTTGCGAACCAGCATGACCAGTTTGCGGCCCCCGTCATACAGAAGATGGATCAGTACCCCGGGTACATCATGTACCCGCTGTTCCGCTCGCACACGCGGTACAAGGATGGGAAGTATATCAAGGACCTGAACTACCTGAACCGCGACCTGTCGAAGGTCATCATGCTGGAGACGAACCCGGACGCGTGGGCGATGAACCCGAATAACACAATCAAGATGAAGCCGTGGACGGGCGACGCGGACGATAAGGAGCTGGTCAAGCTGATCCCGTTCTTGGAGTATATTGCGGCGATGGGCATCAGCGATGTGCGCCCGGTCATTGAGGACTTTGGCGAGAAGGACGTGGCGACAGAGTTTGCGAGGAGGGAGGCGCTGGCGAGGGCGGAGCTGAAGAAGAGGGTTGAGAGGGAGAGGGCGCAGAAGAAGGGGTCGCTGGGGGAGGTGCTGATGGGCGCGCTGGGGATGGCGCCGCCGAAGAAGAGGAGGGAGGATGAGGAGAAGACGTTCATGGATTTGGCGAGGGAGAGGGGACAGCAGATGTATGAGGAGACGCAGAAGCATATTGCGGAGCATAAGGATGAGATGATGATGGAGCAGAAGAATATGGAGAGGGAGGCGGCGGAGCAGATGAAGACGAGCTTGAGTAAGATCTTTACAGAGGTGAGTAACCCCCCCCCCCCCCCGGTTTGGAGAGCATTGGCGCTGGGTGAGGACGGTTTTGCTGATGTTTTTTTATAGGGCCTGCCGAAACCTCCGGGACAAGCTTAATCGCGCTTCTAGCCATCATATTCTGAGGGTATTAAATACGTAGTAGTGATATTGAAATAAAAAAAAAAACGGGAGCATCTTGTCCTTCCTTTCCACCTTCTCTCTTCTCTTGGTTGTTCTTTTCGGTCCGGTTCTATTCTTTTCAAACTCCACTCTTATTTTATTTTTTCTTCTTTTCCTTATATATTGGGGATTCACTTTTTTTTTTTTTTTTTTTTGTACATAATTGGTTCTGTACGTGGGGTGGTCATTGCCTTCATCTTTTCGTCAGCTTAAGGGGGTTACACAAAACAAAAAGAGCTGGTTAAATTTGGTACAATGGGCTGGAGGGCTGGAGGCTGTATTGATATGGAAAAAAAAATTGATCTATTTCGTAGAGGGGAAGGCCGGGCTGGGATGGAGGTGCTGGGTTCGTAACGTCGATGGTTTTCAATCACAGGGGAGGGAGGAGCTGCATGTAATCGTGGGTATGGGATGCTTCAAGTACTTGCATGTAATCTACTTGTCCTGTGTGTATTTATTCTCGCCCCCCCATGGTCAGTTCGTACCGGTGATGTACCTGTGTAAGTGAGTTGAATGGGGTAAAGACAATCAAATAAAAGTTGTAAGGTCCTTCATGTTTCGACTCAAATTTAAACCCCCGGCCCGGTGGTAGATGCCTCCCTCCCTCCCTCCGTCGGAATACTATTGTGGGCTATCAGATTGGCTGCAATAACCAAGTTTTTGAAACTACCTGCTTCAATCGAGTTCGTATTGAAGCCTAAGATAACAGAGGCATAATTAAGGAATCACAAAAACGAAATCTCTTGTCTTCTCCCCTGGTGGTTGACGTTGTGGGGGAGGGTCGACGTTGAAGTTGTTAATTTTTTCCTATACACAATAAGCTTCCGGATAATTTTTTGATAACTCGCAATATACCTTCAGCGGAAAACTGGGCCTAAGATGGAAAAAATATCGTTGTAATGTACTGGCCTCTTCACCTCTTGGACTAGTTTTTCTCACCAAATATCCGTCTGCTACACTTGGAGATAGAAGATGGGATGTGTATATATCACAGGTGCATACATGGCAATTAATGAATTATCAATCAATCAATCAGGTGCATACATGGCGAGTATGCTTGTGTATATGTCAATATATCCGGGTCTGAAAGCTGTCTCCCTGTTGTCATTAACTTTTGAACAGGTATTTCCGTCGAGAGATGACACGTACATGGAGTTTTGTCTTTAAAAAAAAGGGCGGTATTGGACCCCGTCTTCTACTCGCCATTCCCATCCGCAATTATGGCAGTTTCTCAATCTTCAAAGCACCACCCGATGGAAGGTAGGTTAAAACATCTATTTGGCTCATGACTCATTCTCTAAATTGTGAATAGGCTCCGAAACGACGACCAAAGTGGACTATCATCAGCTCAGCATTTCGACATATTGCATGGAACGCACTGTTTTGGGCCCGGTACTCCCCCCACCTCCTCCGATGACAAGCAAGCAAGCGAGGAAGGAGTCAAATGAAAGATATCGCTCTCGCCGTCGGACTTCAGACGTGGGGCAGGAAAACAGACGGCACCAAGCTGACGAGAAGTTAACGAAAGCCAGGGCATCGGCGAAGAAGGCTGAACTCAGAAGAGAGAAAGCTAGACAGGCCACAACCAAGAAGGCTATCAAGTTGATGGAGAGGCAGGGTACTTTACTAAGCTTCGGATTCCCTGCAACTAAACCCAGAGCTCAAGTTGTTAAAGATGATACTTAGGGATATCATGATACTATCATTAAGAATATCTTGCAGCTGTGGAGGTGTTGATTAACGTTTTTATCATGGGTGTTTTCGAACGAGATCATGCTCAAATCCAACAAATGAGCGCGCATCTAGCTGAACAACACACATGTATACACTGCTCAATTTAAAATAAATTGCTTTGAATATTCAGCTTCAATTGAGGCACATCACTAGAATGTTTCGGGTTGCGCAGTCTGGTAGCTTGAATTTCAGTCTTTTTAGGTGTTTTGGTAGAGAGATGTTCGAAATATCAAATAATACATGTATGTACTCGACAGGTTTAATCATAGTCAGTACTTGGGGAGGATGAATGGGATTAATGGTGGGGAAGAAGAATGGAAATCTTCTGTCTAGGTCGAACAACCCCGAATACTCATAGTGCAAAACATGGCCAATAATATACTTGTAGGTGCGTGCGTGCATGACTTTTCTCGGGTTCTAAACGCTGGATCAATAGGATTCGTAGTCAATATATACAAAGTTTCTATAATACTAGAGGTTTTTCTACACCTGTGGTTGTTGTGAAGGTTAGCTGCAGTCCTTATCATAGCATCGATCATATATACAATTAATAAAGTAATCAATCAATCAATTATCATAGCATCGGATCATGGGAAATCACTCGATGAATACGTTCAGCCCAAGTTCTTTATCTTCAGTAATAATAGAAAAAGCGGTACATATGTATATACGTATTAGGCTATAATCTAAAGGGAAAAGAGGTGCTATTGATTTTACTAACTTACCTGAGATTGAGCTATAATATTTTCGGTTTGATATCTTGAAATATTCGATAACCCGCTGAATTCACCCGGCTGGTATCATATTCAGACAGCCTGCGTGCATAACCTCTGAAATTTGGATAGAGAAGTTTGAGTGCGCATATGTCTGTATGCATCGGGCTTTCGATAGGGTAGGACTAGAGCGTGGTATCTACGTGTAGCTGGGGTTCTCGTAGCATCTGGGGAGAGCTTCTTCTGGAAGGACCCGGCCCGAGTTTGTAATGTCGACCGGTTCATGTACTTAGTGGCAAACAATTGCGGGCTTGCATTTTTTTTTTTTATCATGCACGTCCAAAGGACCCTTGCAAATCCTTTGCTATTGCCACCTCGTTTGATTGGCCAAAGCTATCTACCGGCAGAATTAGAATCGAATCCATTTACCAGGGCTATGGGGAACTGAAATACATGTACCTATCATCATGGCATGTACTCCAGCTGCCCCATCATTATTGATAGATACCTACGAAACACTTTTTACCTTCAGCGAGATGGAAGCTTCCAGGCGTAGAATTTGGTAATCCAACGCCTTTTCCCACTTGAGAGTCATAAATCCCAACTTTGGGCTGTGTAAGGACAGATATTGAGTTAGGCAACCAATTCGGAAAGTGGGGCAAAGCCACATCTCAGAGCCGCATTGTGGCGGAAGCGCGTTGTAAACAGCGAGAGCTATGAGCATTCTAGAATGACTTAAGGCCCAAGAGCCAGTCTTTATCGCGGATACAAATCAGTGATAGGAATTAAACCAATTTCATGTGCATAAAGCCAGATAGCCAGGTTGAGTTGATGTGGGGGACAGGTTTGTTACATGCTATTCGTCGATGAAGTTCGGCGGGGTTCTTCTTGGCTGGCTGAGGTAACGAAGCTCCCAGTCTAAATCCGCCTCCCTCAACACCTCTCCCAGCACCTCTCTTACTTCTTCAACCTCCCCTCCCCCCCAAACCTTTCTTCTATCCATCATCACATCTACACACCCATCATTCTCTCCTTGTCTTCTTTATTTCATCCATCTACAGAAAAACACATTTATTCCACCTAAAAAGAATCCAATATGCCGGATCACGAAGATAAGAAGAAGAAGGTCAACTTGGGGTATGTTCATCATCATGTTCCCTTCATCTTGCATCTTACAATAAACGTCATCAGCATTTGTTCCTAGAACCATCTACTAACCATCTCTTTGCGCTTCAGGGACTCATCCGGTGCTCCGCCAAAAGATGTGAGAATCCACCTGTTCGCCTCGGTTGATGAGAGGTTGCAACTCCAGCTCTTGTATACTAATTTGTGGAAATAAGGCCGATGATGTTGCCACCGCCATCTTGAAGAAAAAGAAGAAGCCAAATAGCTTGATCGTTACCGATGCTGTGAATGATGATAACAGTTCGTTGCCCCGCATCGTTATCGGTAGGATTGCCGCTAATGGATAACCGTCATGTAGGTATCATCGCCTTATCAAACAACACCATGGAGACGTTACAACTCTTCCGTGGTGACACTGTCCTTGTCAAGGGAAAGAAGAGAAAAGACACAGTTTTAATTGTTCTGGCCGACGATGATCTCGATGATGGATCTGCAAGAGTTAACCGTGTAGTCCGAAATAACTTGCGCGTCAGGCTGTAAGTTGAACCAAGTCCTGGATGTTGGAAAGATGCTAACAAACTTATAGAGGAGATGTCATCACAGTTCATCCCTGCCCCGATATTAAATACGTAAGTTTTACTCGAGGAATAAATTACTAAACTGTCTAACATTTTTTCGCAGGCGAAACGCATTGCTGTTCTTCCCATTGCAGACACTGTTGAGGGACTCACGGGTTCTCTCTTTGACGTTTACCTTAAGCCCTATTTCCTTGAAGCCTACCGACCTGTGCGAATGGGTGATCTCTTCACAGTCCGAGGTGGTATGCGAATGGTAGAGTTCAAGGTTGTTGAGCTTGATCCTCCAGACTATGGTATCGTTGCTCAAGACACAGTTATCCACTGTGAGGGAGAGCCTCTAAACCGTGAGGACGAGGAGGGTAACCTAAATGAGGTTGGATACGATGATATCGGCGGTTGCAGAAAGCAGATGGCACAGATCAGAGAGTTGGTTGAGCTGCCGCTGAGACATCCCCAGCTCTTCAAGAGCATCGGTATCAAGCCTCCACGCGGTATTCTTCTGGTAATTTCCCAAATAACCCTTTTCTAAAGTACCTTTACTAACAATTTTATTAGTATGGACCTCCTGGTACTGGTAAAACCCTAATGGCCCGTGCTGTTGCCAACGAAACCGGAAGTTTCTTCTTCCTTATCAACGGTCCCGAGATTATGAGTAAGATGGCCGGAGAGTCAGAGTCAAATCTTAGGAAAGCTTTCGAGGAAGCAGAGAAGAACTCTCCTTCCATCATCTTCATTGATGAAATCGATTCTATCGCCCCCAAGCGTGAAAAGACCAATGGTGAAGTCG